TTTTGCGGCGGCCTGCGCGGACCTCTCCAGGTCGGCATCATGCCCCGCTCCCCGACGCGCGGAGCGAGCCAGGGGCGGCGCCGCATGCGCCGCGCCGCCGAGAGATGCAGCGCCGACCCCAAGGGATCCGCGTGGACGACATCGTTCTCGTCCGACTCCTCCTCCTTCCTCGTGCCTCCCACCCTGGGCTGGGTGGCGTCAAAATATCGATGGCCTCCCCCCCCGATGGGCATGTTTTGTAACATGTTTTTCCCTGGAGCGCTGGTGATTTCACACTAGGAGGAGGAGGAAAACGAGGAGGAGGAGGAGGAGGAGGAAAACGAGGAGGAGGAGGAGGAGGGGGAAGATGGGGAGGAGGCGGAGGAGGAGGAGGAGGGGGAGGAGGAGGAGCTTCCAGCCATGAGGAGGAGGAAGAGAGGAAGAAATGGAACGTCATTCGGATGCTTCGTCGTTCTAGGTTGCGTCCTGCGTCCCGCGGTGCCCTCCGCCGCCGCCCCCGCCCCGGACCGCAGGCGACGGCGCGGGCTGACGCGGCGTGGGCACACGTGGAGGGCCTCCGTTCGGGGGTCTGTGGAGGCAGAGGCCGCGAGGCGGCAGGCAGGAGGGGCAGGGGCCCGAGAGGAGGAGGAGGAGGAGGAGGAGGAGGAGGAGGAGGAGGAGGAGGAGGAGGAGGAGGAGGAGGAGCGAAAGGAATACGCCCGCGTGCATGAGTTTTTCGTGGGGGTCGGGAGGGTTTATATTCTGCGAGTGTTTCTCGTCTGCATCACGAGGCTGGGCGCGCGGACCTGGGGGGGCCTTGTTCATGGTCGCTGTTGGGCGCGTGCGTTGAAGTCGGGCGATACTCAAAGATAGTAAAACACATAGCCAGGGGGCACTTGTCTCATTATGTTTAGAACATGTTTGACTATTCTTGGTGGTGTAGCGTTCGTTCAAATCTGCCTGTAGGGCGACATGCCCGACCTGATCGTACGTCGTTGGTGAGCCTCCTGGAGAGAGAGAGAGAGAGAGAGAGAGAGAGAGAGAGAGCGAGAGAGAGAGAGAGAGACGCACAAAAAACGAAAGAAAGACAAGGACGAGGCAGTGGGGTGGTGGCTTGATCGGGGGTGGGGGTGACGGGGAGGGAGCGGAGGACTATTCCTCGGGAATCGGCGTTGTGCAGGCCAGCAGAGCAGAGCATTGCGTGTGCTATGTAGCCCAGGGCAATCCAAGGCAGTACGGCCTAAGCGCACCAAACACCAACTACGCGACCGCGCCGTTCGATATGCGTGTCGTCCTGCGTTTCGGGAGCAGCGAGCGGCAAACAAAGTCCGCACGTGTGCCGCCATGCCACGTCCGCCTTGCTTTAGCAGTAGACTTTGGCGCAGTCGTTCCAAAGCCTTGTTCTCGCTAGGGGTGCTAGCCGACACGTTCGCCATCTAGCTGAACCATATTGGCCGTATTGGGAATATCTATTCCTACATGGGTGCGGAGGCCATACATGGCACTGGTGTGGTGAGATGTGTCAGTGTACGGAATTCCGATTGCCAATTGGTGCGTGGCAACACGCACAGCCTTGCCAGGCTTGGCTTGCGGAGGCAGCGTCCTAGAGCAGTGGTCGGCAATTGACCACTCTTTCAGTGACACGTTCCCTGGGGATGCAGGGCACAACTCCCAAACCCACATCCTGCCGCACTGCGCCATCTTATGACCAGACTTCCACATGAGTTCGTCCACCTCCTTTGGCTTTAGTTGGGGAGGCGGACATCAAGGCTTTCCTGGTCCCACGAGCAACACTCTTCTTCAATTGATGCGCTCCGCCTCAGAATTCGTGCAGTCAGGATGTCCAGCTCTTGCAGCGAGCACATCTGGCTCGATCGCCTGGGCTGCGTATCGCGCCCCTTCTTTGCAGTGGCGTCTCGTGCGTTGACGAGCTCGTCCGCCCGCTCCCATCGTCCTCCCCTCTGAACGAGATGTTGGACTCTGTGGGAGGAGGGACAGGGGGATGGTACAGTCAAATGTTTGACACGGCTTTTAACCCCCAGCAAGCGGAGGTTGCCGCCAGATTTGAGGATCTGGACTCGTTTGGCCGTCGATGGAGATCTTGGCCGATCCTTTACTACCAGTCCGCTAGCGGCCCCACTGTATTGCGGTAGTTGGCAGCAGCCGGTATGTCATGCACCAATCGGTGTTCGACGTGGGCGGTGATGTTACCAACGGTGAGCTTCAAGAGTCTCCAAGAGCCGTAACACATTCGCGAGTTCTGCTCTGAAAACGGGATGTCGCTCACCAGGTATGCACCACTATCCAGTGCAGCTTGCCGTGGGAGAGCCAGGGCCCCATTCGGATTGCTACTGCCCATCCCGCCTTTCCAAGACATTTGGTCCTCGGAGGTGACGGAGCTGTCTGGGTATGCGGCCGCAGCGTGCGCCATGTCCGAGGAGCGGAGGAGGTTGACAATCCCGTCCAGACCAGGGAGGCGGCGCTGTATTTCAGGGGGTTGGCGGTGAACCGCGCGTTTAAAACGTGTGAGAAGATCCATCTCGTCGTGCTGCCAGGAGGGGGACGAGGAGGAGGAGGAGGAGGAGGAGGAGGAGGAGGAGGAGGAGGAGGGGGGCACCCTTCTGAGGCTTTGCTTCTCATCCCTCCTCATCTCCTCCTGCCCGTCCTTCCTCTCCTCTTTCCGCCCAGTCTTCCTGCTCCCCCGCCGCCTCCTCCCCCTTCTCCCCCTCCTGACCCCACCTTCCCCCTTCTTCCTCCCGCCTTTTTCGCCCCATGTTTTTCCACCTCCTTCCCTCCCTCCTTCCCTCCCTCCTTCCCTCCCTCCTTCCCTCCCTCCTTCCCTCCCTCCTTCCCTCCCTCCTTCCCTCCCTCCTTCCCTCCCTCCTTCCCCTCCCCCAGCGCCTGTTCAGACCTCCCTTTGAGGGAGTTCGAGCCCGCTTCGGGCGGTCCCGTTGCCGCTGTTCATGCTCCCTCAATCCGCCCCACCATTTGATTCGGTCAGGAGCGCTCTGCCTCGCCGCCATGGCTTTCGGCCGCGGCCTGCCAGGAGCGCCCTCGCCGCACGGCGGCAGAGCGTCTACGCGCTTGGGCCAGGCTATGGCGTCGCGCAGGTATTGCAGCAAGGCTATGCGTTAGAGCTCTCGCCGAGGTGCTTACCCCTGGAAGCCTCTGCGCAGCAGCCCGCCCCTTTGGGTCCTCCTGCCGTTTTCAGAATGGCGTGATTCCACGGCCGCGACGCGAGTGTGCGGCTCCGTTCGCACGTCGATCTGCCAGATGCCCACGCAGTGACCCTCGCCTCACTCCTGTGTCAGACCTTCCTCTCCCATCCTCCCGGCACGCTTGCACTTGGAATGATCGGACATCAGTCTCCCTGGGGCACTACAGGTAGTAGTTCCTGGGGCGCGTGATGCCCCCCCGCGGTGGCGATGTTCATTGGGTTTGCTCCTGGCCTCCACCTCCCTCTCTCCCCATCGCCCAGCAACCGCTCGCCCGGACAATAATTGTCACAGGTGGCTCCTCTTGTTAGCGGCTGTCTTTTCCCAGGGGGGGCAGTATTTGTCCGCCCTGGCCGGCGCTTTCAGCAGGCATCGTGCGAGCTGTGGCAGCACCGTGGGAGTTTCGCGGCGCTTCTCCATCTCCTCCCCCTCCTCCTCCTCCTCCTCCTCCTCCTCCTCCTCCTCCAAAAAAAAGATCTCTCCCCATCGCCCAGCACCGCTGCCATGGTGGGCCCCCCGGGTGCCATCGTTGTACGACCGCCGCCCGCGCCCGTTCGGCTAGGTCGTTTGCTCATTGCGCTCCGTCCGTTGCCCCGCACTTCGGGGGTTGGGCATTCGCGGCATCTCGCGCAGTGCCCGCAGTGAAATCAAAGAAGCCCTCCTCTTCCTCCTTCCTCCTCCCACCCCTCCTCCCCCATCCTTCCTTCCTCCCCCCACTTTCTTCCTCCCCCTCCCGAGGTGTTCGACCTTGCAGGGGCCCCTAGTTGAGCGCCACCACCCAGCCTTCGCGCCGAAGTCCGCCAGAGGGACTGCCGAGGTTGTCAGAAGACCGCCAAAGGCCATCGAAAACCGCCAGAGGCCCGCCGAAGTTTGCCCAGGGCCAGTGGGCGGCCAGGGGTCCATAGTCGGGGCTCAAGGCCCAGGGATCAATGCAAACGGGGGTCAGTCAGGGCGCCGGATCTTGCAGGATCCTGCAAGGCCTTGGGCGCCTTGACCCGGATAATGGCGCTGGATCCCGCAGGATCCCGCAGGATCTTGCAGGATCTTGCCAGGCCTGATTGACCCGGGTCTGGGTTGACCTGGGTCAGTAGATCCCCGACATGGTCCGGCGGCTAGTTACAGATGGTGTGGTTACGCCGGGGTGTGGTCTGGGGCTTGGGGGGCACCATGTTGCCCTCGTGGGGACTTCTCGGGGCGCGTCTGAGAACTCCGTCGAGGTCCTCGCGCGTCCCCCAGGGTGCGGGTTGCAAACGAAACTCTTGCAAGCCACACCCTTCGATCGGAGTCGCTGGAGAGTATTTTTTTGTTATACTCACGGCGATTACGGGCGCAACCAAGGGGGGAGGAGGGTGGGGCGGGGCAGGTAACACCACGTTTCGTGCCGGCGCCGTCTGGGATTGTCTAGGCACAACCAAGGACAGCTCGGACGTCAGCACACATCGTGACGCTACCTGGGGGAGAGTGGGGGGGGAGGCGGCCAGCGCGGGTAACGGCCGTTATCGCGAACGAAAACAGGCCTCCTCCTCCTCCTCCTCCTCCTCCTCCTCCTCCTCCTGCTCCTCCTGCTCCTCCTGCGGGAGGGGCGCAGGCCGTTATCGCGACGGGGCTAGGACGAGGGGAAGTCCGTTCCAGAGCTTTCTGGAGCGCTCTCAGAGCGTTCTGGAGCGCTCTGAGGAGGCCGCGGCGCCCGAGACGACCTCCAGAGCCGCCAGATCGCAGAGCGCCTCGATGAATCCTCACACGACCTTTTGCCCTCGTCCTGGCCTCGTCGTCTGGAGCACGCGGCCCTCCCGCGGCCCCGCGCAGCCCCCGGTCTGGGGCCCTCCGGGCGCGGTGCGCTGCCTTGGCGGCGAGGCGTGCGGGCGGTGCTCCGTAGGAGCGCGCGCGCGCGCGCCGCCCGGGCGGCCAGTGGGCCAAACCGTGCCCCTGTTTTGGCGGGCCTCGCCTCGCCGCCTCGTCTTTTCCTTCGACGTTCTCCCGCCGCCGTCGTGTCGGGGGAATCGAGGGCAAGGGAAGATCATCATCATCATCATCATCATCATCATCATCATCATCATCATCATCATCATCAGCAGCAGCAGCAGCAGCAGCATCACCAGCAGCATCATCATCAGCAGCAACAGCCGCAGCAACAGCCGCAGCATAATCATCAGCAGCAGCATCATCATCACCATCGTTATCATCATCATCATCATCATCATCATCATCATCATCATCATCATCATCATCATCATCATCATCATCATCACCATGGTCATCGTCATCATCAGCAGCAGTAGCATCATCATCATCATCATCATCATCATCATCATCATCATCATCATCATCATCATCATCATCATCATCATCATCATTATCATTAGCATGATCATCATCAGCAGCATCATCATCACCATCGTCATCGTCATCGTCATCAGCAACGCAGCAGCAGCATCAGCACCACCATCATCAGCATCAGCATAATCTTCTTGTACATCAGCATCAGCATACTCATCATCAGCAGCAGCACCATCATCATTAACAGCAACATCAGCATCAACATCATTTTCTTCTCATCAACATCAGCAGAGTCATCATCATCACCATCATCATCAGCAGCATCATCATCGTCATTATCCTCATCATCATGTCGGATGAGGAGGAGGAGGAGGAGGAGCAGGAGGAGGAGGAGGAGGAGGTACCCATACCGGTACCCTGCCTCCGTTTCCCGCTCTTCGGGCCTCCTGGGCGCCCTCGTCGCCCCTGCTGGACCCGCTTCGATATCCTGGTCTGAACGCACCCCGGGAGAGGTCCGGGGAGTAGCGACATCGGTACTTATTAGTGCCCCCAGATCTGAAGTGGATCGGGGTCCCCAGGTCGGTGTGGTGACCACGCCGTGTGGTGAGTCGGTGGGGGCTCGGGGCCGCCGCGCGGTTTTCGGGCCCGGGTCGTTCTCCGAGGGTGTCTTGGGCATCCCTGGCCTCCGGGCTCCCAAAGCCAGTGCGGTGACCTAATGTTTCTGGCCCTCCTAACTTAGGTTCCCTCCCAAAGGTTTTTTTCGGTTAGTCACAAGGGGAGGGGACAGCGATGCCGGTAGTCGCCACACTTCAGCGGTCTCCTCGGCCGGCTTCGCCGCGACATCCTGGTCAGAGCGCACCCTGGTCGGGGGGTGCTGAAGGTGCGCCTGGCCCAAGGTGCCCCCAGCTTTTCGCTCCATGTTGGAGCCCCTGGGGCCCTCTGGGCCTCGTGAGGGGTGCCCTGGAGGCCGTGGGGGTCTCCTTGGAAAGCCTGGGGGCAACTTGGGCCAGGGACAGTTCCAGCAAGACTCGACCCAGGCGGGTCCCAGGGGTAGCGGTATCGGGACTTGTTGGCCTCTCCAGAAGTTGCAGAAGCGCACGATGTAGGGGTGTGAGCCGCCAGGTCTCAGAGATTCTCGATTTATCTTCACAGCCGCGCGCCCGTTTCTGCCGCTTTCGGGTCCTCCCTTGTTCCACATTCCCTCCTTGTCTCCCCAGTGTGTGTGTATATATATATATATATATATAAATATACATATATAGATATCGTTTCTTTGTTGTTTGACGTTGGGTGCGCTCCTTCACGGGCACCCCTGTGGTCTGTCGCATTGCGCCCGGTTGTTGAGAGACAGCCGCGTTGATGAGCACGCGCCCCTCTGGGCGCGGGCCCGGGGGCGGCCTGGGACCCTCGGCCAGCGCGCCTGGCCCTGGCGCGCGCCAGATGAATACCGGTCGGGACATCCCCGGGGCCCACGGGGGGGCGAGGGGAGGAGGAGGAGGAGGGTGAGGAGGAGGAGGAGGAGGAGGAGGAGGAGGAGGAGGAGGACGAGGAGCTGGGGGAGCAGGAGGCGCAGGAAGAGCAGGAGGAAAACGGGGGAGGAAGGGGAAGGAGCAGGGCCGTCCTTCCCCTGCTCCTCCCTTCCGCTTTTCCTCCCTCCCGCCCCTCCCCCTTCCCATTCCGCCCTGCCTCCCTTCCGTGCCGCCCCTCCCCTTCCCTCCGCCGCCCCCCCCCCCATTTGCTCCACTCGACCTCCCCCCTACCCCCTCCTCCCCTCCTCCTCCTCCTCCTCCTCCTCCTCCTCGTCCTGAATTTTGCCCTCCTCGTCCCTCGTCCCCCAGCCCTCGTTGGCCGCCCACCCCCCCACGCCCCACAAGCACTGATTTGCGAGGGCCGCTCCCCCCCGCCGGCGGCTCTGGAGCCGCCGCCGGAGGGCGGCAGGGAAAGGCAGCGCGCGCGCGCCGTGCGGCGCGTCGTTATCGTCGGTCGTTGTCGATGTCGTTCGACGCCGCTGTCGGCGTCGTCGTCGTCGTTCAACGTCGTCGCTGTTAACGTCATCAGCGCTGGCGCCGTCGTCGTCGTCCGCCGTCGTCGTCGACGTCGTCCGACGTCTCCACTGTCGGCGTCGGCGTCGTCGTTGTCGTCGTCCAACGTTGCCGCTGTTAGCGTCTTCGGCGCTGGCGTCGTCGTCGTCGGCGTCAAGGTCGTCGCCTGATGAGGAAGAGGTTTGCGAAGAGGAGAAAAGGGGGGAAAAGCGAAGAACACCGCCGCCCCCTGCCTTTTGGAAACGCCTGTATGGCCAGACATTGAGGCAAAGCTTGGCCAAGTTATTGGACTATGTGTTCCTCCTGCCATTGCGGAGAATCTTGTGGGATTACTTGGAGGAGGAGCTGGAGGGGGGGACGGATGAGGAGGAGGAGGCCAGGAAGGAGAAGAAGGAGGACGAGGAGGAACAGGAGGCCTCTTGGGCCCTCCCGGGGGGCCTCTGACAGGCGTATTGGGCCTCTTAGGGTCCTCCTGGGGCCTATTTGAATTATTCCTGCTTCGCGTATCACCACAGTTCCCCCGCAGTTTCCCCCTGGCGGGGCTCTGAACGCTGGTGGTTGTGACGTGGCCTCCACGCGACGTTCCCCCCTGTCTTTGGTGGTGGTGGTCGCCACTCGGGATTCACGACATGTCCACCGTCGATTGATTCAGTGACGTCCCGCCCTCGAGCACTTGGTGCTCTGTGAGTGAGGCCTCCTTCTTCTCCCCCCCTCCCGCCTCCTTCCTGTCGCCCTGCTCATCGCCCGGCTTTCGGGTGCTGGCGCCACTGTGCGTCGCCTTGTTTGCTGTCGGTCTCCCTGGGCCATGTCGGCTTGCTTGCACGTGCGGCCGGCTCTCGACAGTGGCCGCTCTGCCTCTCCATGGCTTTGTGCTATCGTCTGCCCGTTTCCCCTAATTTGTTCTGCATGTTCGCATGTGCGGTCGGCTGTCGACAGTGACAGCTGGGTTCGCAAATTATCTGGCTCTGTGCCCCAGTCATCCCGATTGACACGCCCTCTGGACTCTTCCTTGCTGGCCGCAGATCAAAAAAACATCACCACAAGAAGTGTTGCGCACCGCCCTCTGGTTCGCCAGCAGTGACAGCGCCCCATCAGTTCGCGGCATGGCCACGTGCACAGTGCTGGACAGGCGCTTCTGGCGTACATTTCCTAATTCCACCTCTGGCACCTCGGCCTCAGGTTTGCAGGTGCATCAGCTTCCCTGGGCGTTGCAGACCAGCCATCCAGTTCCACCAGCCGCTGCTGCACCTCAGCCGCCGCTTCTGAGTGCTGGCCCGGCCGGCTTGCGTGTCGCTTAGTAGCTAATTAGGCTGGCCCGTGCCCCCGACCCCCTCTCGCCGCCTGCCCCCTGGTGCGCGGCCGCGACCAACAAAGAGTATCCCCGCAAGACTTCGGGCCGTATTTTAGGCCTTCGTACGATTCTACGACGCCGCGCGGCTCTCCCGCTTGCGGTTGCGAGCGAAAAAGTATCCCCGCCAGCCCGTTCAGAAACGTTGCCTTTGAGAGTTGACGGGGGGAAGAACCAAGAGACATAATTTCAGTGAAACTAAGCGGGCAAGCAGGATGGACAGAGAGATTTTTGGGGCGGGCAGTGCGTCGACCCGCCATCGCCCACGCATCGCCGCCCGGGCGCCCGCTGGCCCACCCCATGCCCAGGGGCATGGGGGGTCCGCTGTCGGGAGGGGGAGGAGGAGGAGGAGGAGGAGGAGGAGGAGGAGGAGGAGGAGGAGGAGGAGGAAAGAGGAGGAGGAGGAGGAGGAGGAGGAGGAGGAGGGAGGAGGAGGAGGAGGAGTAGGAGGAGGAGGAGGGAGGAGGAGGAGGAGGAGGAGAGAGGAGGAGAGGAGGAGGGGGAGGAGGAGGAGGAGGAGGAGGAGGAGGAGGAGGAGGAGGAGGAGGAGAGGAGGGAGGAGGAGGAAAGGAGAGGAGGGAGGAGGAGGAGGAGGAGGGGGAGGAAGGAGGAGGAGGAGGAGGAGGAGGAGGAGGAGGAGGAGGAGGAGGAGGAGGAGGAGGAGCCCATCGCCGAACTATCAGCTCGGTAGCCCCAGGGGCGCGCAGATGTTCGCGCTTCGCGCGCCGCGGCCCGGGCTTGAGAGCTGCCCTTTCCCCCCCGGGGCACGAGGGCGCGAGGATGACCGCGCGTCGCGCAGCGCGGGGCTCGATGAGCAAAACTTGGTGGCCTAGATTGAAGTCGGGCCTGTCCCTCTACTTGGGGAAAATTCAAAAATAGTCTCGGGACGATGTTTGGGGTATGTTTTGTATTTTTTTATTTTTTGTTGGACTATTTATAGTTTTGCATCCCAAATCGCCCTGTAGGAAGACAGGCCCGACTTAAACCTAGATCAGCGATGGATCGCTGATTTCCCCCTGACGTCCCCCCACAGACAGGTACACGCACGGCGGCCGTTTCTCTCCTGGGGCCGGGGCCCGCGAAGGGCCGCTCGGAGGGCCTGGGGGAGGGGGTGGATCCCGCGGACAGCAGCCAGGGGCGCGAGATCCATGGGAGAGGGATTCGGGCGCGAGACCTCGCACGGTGTGCAGCATGAGTCGAGCAGGAGCTCGACTACATAATCGAATTCGACCGAACTGTTGTTGTTTGTCGACATACGACACATGCGCAGAATGTTCGGATATCTACGATCATAATACGAGGCTTCCGCAGATGATTCAAACAAGCTCTGGGGTAACTCTGTAGTCGATCCATTCACGAGCGCCTCCACGGGCCATGGGGCCATCAACAAAACGGCTGAGGACGAAGAGCTGGGCCTGTGGGAAGGCCCCAGGTTTCAGGACCCGCTGCCCTTCACGGCAGCCTGTGCTTCCCGGAGGGGAGCGATCTGCCCCTGGCTCTGGGGCACCCCCGCCGCCAGACGGGGCGGGCGAGGCGAGGCGGGCGCTTGGCATGGCCCACTGGCCTTCGACCCATGCCGCCAACATGCCGGTCTCGGGGCCCCCAATTGGCCCGCTCTGGGGCGCTGCTGGCCCCTTTGGAATCCGTGCGGGGAGTGCCAGGGCACCGCGGGAGGCACGCCGGGAAGTCCCGAGAGAATTTGAGAATTTCGGGGGTCGAGGGCCCCCCTGGGGACTGCCAGGGACACGAGGGCGCTCTCACTCCGTGCCTCGCGGCGCGGCGGTACGGACCTAGTGTGATGGGCTTGTTTTCCACCACCACCACCATAAGTTGGATGGGGGAGGTGGTCCTCCTCTTCCTCCTCCTCCTCGTCCTCCTCCTCCTCCTCCTCCTCCTCTCCCTCATCCCCCTCCTCCTCCTCCTCCTCATCCTCATCCTCATCCTCATTCTCGTGCTCCTCCTCCTTCCCCCCCTCCAACTTCTGGTTGTGCTCGTGGGAAACAGGCCCAGCATGGTACGGACTGGAGTCGGCGCCACCCCGACCATGTCCCTACCGCGTGCACCTCGGCCCCGCAGGGGCGACGCGCACGCTCAGAAAGCTCGCGGCATCGGCGCCGCGGCCGGCGCCTTCTGGCCATATACCTCTGGGGTTAGGTCGGGCCTGTCCCTCTACAGGAGGGATATTCAGAAATAGTCCAAAAATAGTCTGGGGACGATCTTTTGACTATTTTTGAAAGCATCCTAGGGGTATTTTTGAGTACATCAAATTTGTCGCCCAAAATGCCCCCGTAGAGGAACAGGCCCGACCTAACTCTAGGGAAACGATCTGCTGCACGGTTTCTGCGTCATAGGTTCGGCTCGGACGTGCGCCTCTCAGGGGCTGCGCACAGTGCTGGTAGATCCTCCCGTGTCCCGTGACGGATGCCGTGCGCGGCGGTAGCAGAGCCTCTATTTGTCCTGCTGAGTTCACCGGTCCTGCGTGACTGTCCCGAGTGTTTCGCGCTGCCGCTCGCTCTTGGGAGCCTTATGCTGTTCAGAGCGCTCGACGCCACCACGCTCTGGGGAGCCGTGGTGCTCAGGGCCTGGGACAGCTGGAGGCCCGCGCGAGGGCCGAACGCGGGCCGGCCTGAAGGTATCGAGTCGGCCCGGGCGTCGGGGGTATGCGCCGCACCCCGGCGCGCGCAGGGGGGCGCGCGCGCCGGGGCCGCGCGGCGGGTCCGCGCCGCAGCCAGCGGGCAGTGGGCGGCCATGGCGAGCGTCGAGCAGTGCCTGGCCAGGGACGACTGCCCAGGCGTCCGACCCCCCTGGGTGACAAGCCAAGGATACGGTTGAGTCGGGCCTGTCCCTCTACAGGAGGAGTATTCAAAGATAGTCAAAAACATAGTCAGGGGACGATTTTGTGACTATTTTCATTATTGTTTGAATAACTTTGAATATTTTTTATTGTTTCGTCCAAAATCCCTCTGTCGGGGGACAGGTCCGACCTAGGGATACGTGATGGCCTTCGTTCCCACGCCGCCCCTGCGACTGGGGTGTAGGTCAGAGGCCTCTCAGGGCCCTCTTGTGGCCCGTTTTGGGGGCGCTCGCGGTTTCGAAGAAGTCATGCGGGGAGCGCCGGGGCGGAAGGCACTCTGGGAGCCCTGAAATATTTGAGAGTTTGGAGTTTGGGTTCCAAAGGACTGCGGACTGAGGATTACACAGGTTACTCCAACTCGTGCCTCGCGGCACGGTGGCGGACAGTAGGCACGTCAAAGAAGGAGCATACCAGCAGGTTCCCCACGGAAATGTCTTATCCCCTCGATGAGCCTTGGGGCACCTCACGAAGCTCAAGGCTCGACTGCGAAGTTGCCCCTGGATTTCTCACGGCATGATTTCTAATCGTATGTGCCGTGCCCCCTTCCTGCAGCCCTCGACTTCGCCTTACAAGCTGGCAGCTTGGAGTCGATGAACATTATACAGCCCCTAACCCTACTAACACAGCGAGTTCGTGGCCTACCGTCGGTCCACAGTTGTTCGGGACATCCCTGAACATGTGGGTGGTTACGTCTGACGCATCTGCAACAAAACCATCATACCCCCAATGTCTTGGCCCTCACAACGTTGGTCCCCTCCCCAAGGACCAGGGATGCTTTGATTGCTTACCATCTCTCTCTCTCTCTCTCTCGCGCCCGCGCCCGCGAGCCGGCTCGGCGACACGCTGGGTCTCACAGCGTGTTGGCGCCGACCGCGTCGAGACCCAGCTGAGGACAACCCTAGACCGTATCAGCTTAACGAATTGTTGGACCCACCCTCGCAGGCCTAGAGGTTGACACCAACATCACTATCGGCGGTGTGCCTCCACCGAGGGAAAAAGATCCCGATCTCGGTGATGTTGGTAATATTGCCACCAACACCGAGATCTAGGATCGTCTTCCCCCTCTGGAGGCAAACCCCTGTGTTGGTGTTGGTGCCCATTGCCAGGCCTCCAACGCCCTTCTCAGCGTCGCCCCCCTCGATGCCGAATCGCATCGAAGCGCACTCTGGGCGGAAACGCGCTCTTGGCGGATGCAGCACCCGTTCCGTGCTGCCCAGCCTTGGAGGGGTGGGGCTCAGATGCGCCCGTCATGTCGCGTTCACTTGCCATGGAAGCCCGGTCGCCCACGCGCATTCGCTTTTCGGGAGCCTTGAGACGGGGTCAATGCAAACGGCGGTCAGCCAGGACACCAGATCCTGCAGGATCCCGCGAAGACGCCCTCTGGCTGACCCGGGTTAGCGAGCCGCTCGTGGCCGCGAGGCGGCCGCGCATATTGGCTGATCCAGATTTGCGAAGACCAGCGTTGCTTTTTCTTTCTGCATTGCAGTTTTTTGGTTTCCTGCTGACCCGGGTCTGGATTGACCCGGGTCAGAAGATTCCCGAGCATTCAGATCGCACAGCCAGCTGTTGAGGGGGGGTGATGTTGTCGAGGGCTGCACTTTCAGACGGCCCGTGGCGCCACAGGTGGACGGCACCGCCCTCCCTTGGCCAGGTGCCCAGGCCGCCGAGTCTGGATGGGTCGGGCGTCCGAACATGGACGCTGCCGGACTCGATCGTGCAGCTTGCGCACAGGGGCTCGCCGATGACAACCGAAGACCGCCAGAGACCGCTGGAGGCAGCCGACGGCAGCAGCAGCCGAGGTACCGGAGGGTTCCAGAGGGGGTTTGGGGGGAGGGGGTTTTCCAGGAGGGGTCCCCCAGGGGCTTCGCACCCCCTGTCTTGACGAGGTTCCGAGGCCCCTGGGGGGCTCTCTGGAAAACCAGCTCCCCCCAAACCCCGTCTGGAACCCTCCGGAGGTAGTGTCAGTAATCGTGTCACGTGTATGGGGAAGGTTGGAGAGACACGTTTGGTCGTAGCTGGGAGTGAGCGGCTCGATGTGGTTTGACAGGTACTTGGGAGTATGGTAGTTTGATGTAAGACGGTAGGTAGCCTGGTGGTTGCAGCAGTAGCAACAGTCAGAATTTGAACAGGATTTGCAAGAGGTGGATTTTTTGAGTCGTCTTAGCAACAGTCGCCGTAGTACACATTGACTTTGACGGGACGTGCACGTAGGAGGGAATGTTGCAGCGAAAGCGCATGTTCCCCAATCAGAGCTTGCCTCTGCAGGGGTCCTAGCGGATTCATATGGTTAGGTTAGGATTGCCGCCGATTTTCGCTGCACGCCCGGGTGCCTGGGTGTTCGGGGGTGCCCGGGTGCCCGGGTGCCCGGGTGCCCTGGCGTGCCCGGGGGTGCCCGGGGGTGCCCTATAGCCCTATAGCCCTATAGCCCAATAGCCCTATTGCCCTACAGCTCAAAAGCTCGAGAGCCCTATAGCCCTTTAGCTCAATAGCCCTATAGCCGTATAGCCCCATAGCTCTACAGCCCTACACCCCTATACCCTATAGCCCTATAGCCCTGTAGCTCTATTACCCTATAGCCCAATAGCTCCATAGCCCATATAGCCCTATAGCCCTACAGCCCTAAAAAGATTATGATTGGGGCTTTTCTCCGGTATCATATATGTACAGCTACATGGACAATGTGTTGCTGGTCTTGGGGGACAATCGGGCCATGTTGGACGCTTCTGTGTCCGATGCGACGAGAATGCTCAGACCACGCGAAGTTTGAGGGATTCTGAAGTTGTTCAGCCTCTTGCGCCGGCCCCTCGGACCTCCAAGACGGCCCGCGAGACTCCCGACAGTTCCAAAGAGGCTCCGAGAGGGCTCTAGTTGGCCTAGGTGGCCCAAGGATAGCCAAGCTTGCCCCAAGATCCCCCGAGTCACTCCCCCCCTGGCGGGGAAGGATCAACCAGAAGGGGCGTCCCTTCGAAAGCGCTTATGTGACACGATTATCCCAGGGCCAGCCCTGGCTGACCATCGCAGGACTCCACACGCCGGCAGGATCGGCGGATTTGGCCTCGCATGTCATTCACAACTCATTTGGGTGGTGGGGTGAGCCTCTTCCCCACCCCCAAGCAGCCGATCAGAGGGTTTCGCTGCGCTCTCTGTCTTTCGTTGTGGTGCCGGCCGTTCTCCCAGACACCACGATGGCACAGCAGCTGGAGCCTCGAGGGCAGCAGAAGAGACGGATCTGGCATCGCTGCTGGGGCACCGTGCTGGCCGTAGACAGGGGGCCGGGAGTACGTCGCTGCTCCTGCTGGGCCGGCCTCCCGCACCCCAGGCTGCTTGGACGGGCCCGCCTTCAGCGCCGCGGCGTTCCTGGAGGGGGACCCCTTCGCCGAGTGCTTCGTCGACTGCTGCAGCGTCAAGGACGGCTGCCCGAAAAGGAGGGCTCTTCCCGTCGTGGTTCGGCTTGGGTAAGGCTTCGGGCTGCGCGCAGACAGCCCCCCCAGGAAGTCCCGGCTGGCCTCAACAGGCCCCCCGAGTAGCCCCAGTTTCAAGCAGTGGCGCAGCGCCCTGGCGTGCCAATAGGCCTACCAGACAATGTCCTAAGAACCAATCGTGGTTTCCACGAAATGTTCTTAGACCATTTCTGGCTGGGACTCTCTTCTTTTAACTCCGGGTTCATGTTCTAAGAACATTGTTTGTTTGTTATTCGAACACTGTTGGGTCCAAGAGAGTTTTGTGGTAGGACTAGAGGAATGCCAGGACGGTTGGTCCCTGCTCAACAGTTGGCCTCAAAAGGCCCCCCCGAGTGATCCGTGGTGGTCTCAACACCCCAGCCTTCGGGCGCCGAGCTCCCCAGTGGCGCCACCAGGGGCGGCGCCGGGGTGTCGAGACCGCCCTGGACTTCTCCGGAGGCATGTTGAGGCCAGCTGGGACTTACTGGAGGTGGAGCTGTTTGGTCTGTGCGCCACCCGAAGCCTGACCAGTTCGACTCTCTCCCCACCCTGGTGTGCGTGAGTGTGTGCGTGTGTGTGTGTGTGTGTGTGTGTGTGTGTGTGTGTGTGTGTGTGTGTGTGTGTGTGTGTGTGTGTGTTTGGGGGGGGCGGCAGTCAGCAGTGACGCGGCCCATCTTTGTTCAATCGCGACTGGTGTCACGTCTCGGGTGGAGGAACAAGTATGTATGTGTGAAGAGGTACCCGCTCCGAGGGTGTCAATCTCGCCACGTCAGCACACCGCGCTTGGGGGTGGAAGTGCCCTCAGCGCGCGGCGGCGGGGTTCGGCTTCGGGCTGTCGGTGGAGGGAGCGCCCCCCTGGCGCTGAAGTATTGAATTTCTGGGTGCCTGTCGTGCAGAAGGCAGCTGATCACCACCACCATGTCTGGCCACCACCATCTCAGAGGTTACGGCATCGATACCACCACCCTTGCCTCATGTTCGCCGTGTTAGGCCTCCTGGGAGGGCCTCTGCCACCACTGATGGACTCGCTTCGATCTTCTCCTGGTCAGAACGCACCCTGCCAGAGGTCCCAGGAGCGGTTTCGGTACCTTTTGGTCTGGGTTCCCCACCTACGCCTTGGAAGAGTGTCCAGATCAGGAGGGGAAAAACACACAGACACAATGAATCGTCGACTCCCAGGAAGATATGGGAAATTATGGGAAGTGGGTGGGAAGGCGAAGCTCCAGAAAATAAGGGCAACTACGGGGAATCCTGGGAGTTGTGCGTACTTATTGTTGGGTCCCTGGGCCCCTTCAACAGAGCCCCATGGCTTCGTCGAGGGAGGAGCATGCACCGTTCTGGGGCCCAGCATGACCCTGGCGAGGCTGCCCTGCTGGGTACCCCCTCGTCTGCACCAGTCACTGGCTCCCCCACGTAGGGAGTGCGACCAAACGGGCCAGAAGTGTTCGGGTGGACGAATATCAGGAGGGGAAAAAACACAGACACAATGAATCGTGGGAACAAATGGGAAGTGGTGGGGGAAGACGAAACCTAAAACAAATATATGAAAATATGGGGAATCCTGGGATGTGTATCTACTTTTTTGTGTGTCCCTGGGCCCCTTGAGACTAAGAAGAAATCCTGGGTCCCTCGGCGTCACCGTCGAGGCCGTCAGGCCGCAGTCAGCGACCTTGACGAGGCATCGTTTTTCTTGTGTGAATCGCCCTCGCCCGATGCGTGTGTGTGTGTGTGTGCGTGTGTGCGTGTGTGCGTGTGTGCGTGTGTGCGTGTGTGCGTGTGTGCGTCTGTGCGTCTGTGCGTGCGTGCGTGCGTGCGTGTATGCGTGTGTGCGTGTGTGCGTGTGTGCGTGTGTGCGTGTGTGCGTGCGTGCGTGCGTGCGTGCGTCCGTCCGTGCGTGCGTGCGTGCGTGCGTGCGTGCGTACGTGCGTGGTTGTGTGTGTATGCGTGTACGTGCGCGTGCATGCGTGCGTGTGTGTATGTGTGTGCATGTGTGTGTGTGTCTGTGTGTGTGTGTCCCTTGCTTCTTGTCAGTGCAGCCCAGTGCAGCCCTGTTCCGACGCCGTCCCCCCCCTCAGTGCACCCCCGCCGCAGCCAGCAGCTTCGAGTGGCCCGGCTTCCCCTCTTCCTGTCGCGTCGGGGCTCCTCCTCTTCCTCCTCCTCCTCCTCCTCCTCCTCCTCCTCCTTCCGTGCATCGCGGTCGTAATTTGCATACAGCGTGTCCCCATGTTGCCTTTCCGCCAGAGCAGTCGCCCTCTGCCCAGCCGCCGACGCAAAAAGTGTGTGTGTGTGTGTGATTGTGTTTGATTGTGTGTGTTTGTGTGTATGTGTATGTTTGTTGTGCCTCGAATCGCTTGGTCACATTCTTGGCAACAGCCCCTCCTGGTTGCGGCGGTCGGGAGGACCCAGAGCGCCGCGAGGCGTCGCGCATGACCTCGCGGGCGGAGTGGCAGCAGCTGCTCCGGCGGTTGGAAGAGGACGGCTTGGTTGACCCGGAGGACTTCAGAGGAGGATGAGGTAGTCATGCCGCTACCCGGACACGACCGATTGTGTTGTTCGTTTTATGGATGCCCTTTTTTGGTCCTCGAGGCTGTGGGCAGACATGTCGGGTTACGAAGCTGGTCCCTGGAAAAGGGGTCGACACTTCCGTGGACCCCGCATTTACAAAATCAAGGCATCGGATTTCTGGGAAGTCACCGACACCGTTGCTCAGTGCTGGCCAGGACGCACCATGACGGTGTCTGTACCGCTTGGTCCCCCGAGGACCTGCCCACGCTGGCGACCTGTCCTCTGGACGAGCCCGAGGTTTTCTCCGTGCGCATCGACAAGCCGATCGGCGACGGGCTGGGTGCCAACCTTCGCAGGGGCCCCGTGGACTCCCTGGAGGTGGGCAGCATCGACCCGGCGGGCCCGCTGGCCTCCTGGAACCGGGCCAACCCCCTCCGGGCCGTGAGGCCAGGAGACCGCGTGGTGCAGCTCAACGGCGTGACCGACAAGGTTCCCAAAAGAACAGCATTCCGAGGAGGAAAGGGAGGAGGAGGAGGAGGAGGACGAGGAGGAGGAGGAGGAGGAGGACGAGGTGGAGGAGGAGGAGGAGGAGGAGGAGGAGAAGGGCGTGACCGACAAGGTTCCCCGAAGAACAGCTTGGGCGTCGCCAAGGCGTGGAGTGTGGGGCGATAAATGGGGAGGAAAAATGGGGAAGGTGCACTTCTTGGGCCCTGACCGCCCCCGTAGGGGCCCCAAAAGGCCCCTTGGAGGGGCCCTGCAGGGCGCCTTTTCTGCAGCCCTCGCTGCCAGCTAATTTATCGCCCCCACATTGAGCGACGCTCACACAGCATTCCGATGCCAATGCCCTTCCATGCTTGTCGTTGCTTTTTGTTCGCAACGGTATGATCCTATTCGGGCTCACGGTCAGGACGTAGCCCGGGAGAGG